CAAAAGAATTGGTAACTTCTGATGGTGCTGTGAAGTGAGGTTTTGTTTGCTTTCTTTTTTTTTTTTTTTTTTTTTAAGACGGAGTTTTGCTCTTTTTGCTCTTGTTGCCCAGGCTGGAGTGCAATGGCATGATCTTGGCTCACCAAAACCTCTGCCTCCCGGGTTCCAGCAATTCTCCTGCCTCAGCGAGTAGCTGGGATTACAGGCATGCGTCATCACAACCGGCTAATTTTGTGTTTTTAGAGAGATGGGGTTTCTCCATGTTGGTCAGGCTGGTCTCAAACTCCTGACCTCAGGTGATCCGACCACCTTGGCCTCCCAAAGTGCTGGGATTACAAGCATGAGCCACTGCGCCTGGCCTGTTTGCTTTTCTTTTAACTTCCTACCGCTCCATCCACAGGAAATCACACTGCACCGAGGCCCACCACGGCGATGCTTCCAGCAGGCCTGGGAAAACAGGGGTTAACTTTGATTTGGTTCTTTCCAAAGTCCTAAGAGGGGAGACTTTAGAAACCTGCCAAAACATCAATAGCAAAATAATTATTTTACAAAACCCATTTGAATACTGGTAATTACAGAGCCCTCAATTAGGCACTTGGGAATGACAGAAAGAGCCTCAAGGGGACTTCAAGGGACCAGGACAGATGCCCCTAAAGAGCTATAATATAATTACTACATAATAAAAACTGTTGCATCATATTGGAGAGAAATATCTCAAAACGAGAATAAAAGATTTGCAGAGCTTTCTGAAAACAGTCTTTGCTGGTCAACCTTGTTCTCAAATACCTGGTAAGGTGGGGACCATTCCCATTCTCTTTCTCTCTCTCTCTGCCTGACTCAGGGAAAAAAATCATTTCATCTCAGTAGTCAAAAGCCTCAATTTCCTCAACTCTGAAAAGACCAGCTTTAATGCATGCCAAGCACAGTATTAGACCTCAAAAACCAAGACAGCTCCACGTGGCCACTCCAAACAGGACAGATAATCTGCCAATATAATCGC